TTATGAAAGCCGAATTGAAGCATTGAACAAGAAGATTGCCGATCTGGAGAGTCAGGTTAGAGTTATCGTTCATTCATTCCTGGAACTGTACCACTTCTTCCACTGAGTGGCATGCAAGCGTGAGTCGATGGCATATCCATAGGCAAGTTTATTTTTTTTTTGACGAGGCTGATTTTACAGTTGTCTGAGATAGTCAGGAGGGGGAGGGGGGAGAAGACAAAAACTCCGGAATTGGCTGTTTTTGCGTGGCACTTGTGATACACGGTTGCAGTAGTTACTGAGTGAAATGCTGGTGAAATTTTGAAATGTTTCCTCGGCTTTACTTTATCGCAGGATGTTTTAGCTGCGCTTTATTCGTGATGACTACGATGTGCGCCTCAGCCAACGCGATAAGCGAATTCTGGAGCTGCAGGGAGAAATTGACCGCCTGCTAAATGAATATCAAGATCTATTCGACCTGAAAGTCCAGCTTGACACTGAATTGAAAGCTTACCAGAATCTGCTTGAGGGCGAAGAATCACGGTATCACATTTATTGTCTCTGGAGAATATTTATAATAGATTTATACTGGAAATGTTGAGTAAAACAAAAAAGAAATTTCGTGCTGGTATTTTTTTTTTTTGCTCTGCAAAGATATATAAGCAAAGGAGTGAACCCAGATGTTGGGTCTTTACTGTTTTTTAGTAATACCATCAAAAATTTAGACTGAACATCTCGCAACAATCATCACCAGCGGCATCACCATCAGCTGCTGGCGATCGTCCGTTGAGTGTTTCGTTCGCTGATTCTGGATATCGTCGAGCAGTCAAGAGAAAGCGCTTCATCGCATCCGACGACAGTCTTTATTACCGGAACACTGCCAAGACATACAAAGTATTACTTTTCTACTTTTTTTCCCTACATCTTTCAGCCTTTCATTCCCACATCATCAGGAATCGGCAACTCAGTCCGCCTCAGTGAAGGGCTTTAATTCCAGACAACATCCAATTCGGACTGCGATATTGAGATCGAGGAGCATGATACGGATGGCAAGTTCATCAAGCTATGCAACAAGGGCGATGAGACCATCTCGATTGGTCAGTGGGCTATTAAGAGCGTGGCGAGTGACAAGGAAACAGTCTACAAGTTCCACACTAGACAGACGATGAAGCCCGGCGATACCATTACTGTATGTTTTCATCAT